TGTCCCTTAACCTGCTGGTCAAGGTGTTGCTAAAGCAGCGCAGTATCCAGATAAGCTCTGCTGCCATGAGAGTGCACCGCAGACTGGTGTTCTATTTGTCCACCACAAAATTTGTGTGTTCTCGTGCCCTGCCCGGGTCCTTTCCTGCAAAGCTGCTTTCTGGTGAGAGGGCTGGTCTGCGGTATTGCATGGAGTGGCTCCTTCCCAGACACAGGACTTGGCCTTTGTCTGAACTCCATGAGGTTCCTGTCAAACCATGTCTCCAGCTTGCTGTGGTCCCTCTGGACAGCAGCCTTACCCTCCAGCATACCACCTGGAAAAGCAAGACCCTCATTTGGTGTTAAAAGCCATCCGGTTGCCGAGTGCTCTCCATCCCATTGTACAGTTGAGTATGTCAGGTGTTACTGACCCCTGAGGAGCAGCGCTTAACCGGTTGTCATGGACTGCGAACGGCTGCCCGATGCTTGGAGCTCAGTGGCCCAACCACTCTTACAGCCCCCTTGTAGCCACCCACCCCACCCATGCTGCCCCCATTCATGTAAGCCGCCGTAAGGCCCCCACTGCCCCCTGGTCTGCACAGACAGACGTCTCATCACAGAGAGCACTCGCGCTGCTCTGCACAGTTTTGCCGTTGGTAAACCTGTGTTGGCCCATCCCAATCACCCACTCGTTTGGATGTGCCCATATCCTCTTTCTTGCCGTTTTTGAAGACAGGCATAAAATTGTCCTTTCACCAGCCACTGGGGACCTCTCTCAGTTGCAGCCTTTCAAAGGTGACAGGCTCGATTCGGCTTCTCCCACTCCTGGTGCCTGGCAGGAGAGTTGGCTCTTGGCATTCAGCATCTAGCACGGTACTCTGTCAATACAAACAAATATGAATAGGGAACTAAACCAAATAGAAACACTTCTAAATCAATGTTCCTTTGATCCCCAAACATTATGGTATCCGAGAATTCTAGACACTCAAAAACACATACACAGTTTTACCTGAAATGCTGGTCTTTTCAATAAATACTTGAGGATACTCAGGATGTCACTTGAAACAAGAATGTTAAGAAGAAAATGGTTAAAAAAAAATATACTAGGCATAGTAAGAAAATCATCATGACCACTGTGACCGGAAGGTGACAGCTGTGGAGATTTACCGTCTAACCAAGCATGAATAAATAGTGCAGTACCTCACTTATTCAAGGTGACATGTTCAAAAGATATACAGTGAGGTTCACTGGGTTATTGCCAGATGCATAAAGATAGTGAAATACTTCCTGCAGAGCTTAAAACAGCCATGCTTTCTTTTTCTTCAGACAAACACGACAAATTGTTTTGCAAAACTTTCCTAAGCATAAAATTTGTAGTCCAAGATCACAGAGTAAGGGAATAAAATAAGGTAATTTATTTTTAATGAAATAATCTCTTTCTTACAGGAAATGTTTATTAGTTTATCAGCAGAAGGACTCACTGTAACATTATCATAGGAGTTCCACTGGTGATACGGACAGGGCAATGTGCATGCTAGTTTCTGCCTGCTTCCTTCTGCTATCTGACCAAATTCAGAGGGAAAGATTTTATTATCGTTTTGACCTGCAGAAATGAAAGGCACACATACTAGTATCCTGCAGTGGTCATAGAAGATCCTATTTCTACTATTTTTCTTAAAAGCATGTATCTGTATAGAATACTGAACCACGTCTTCTGTTTGATACCCTGTGTGGAAATCTTTTGCAGTACAAGGACCATGATCCAGTCACACGCATCAGCAGAAAGTTCCAGCTGATGTGTCTGTGTCCAGTCTGGATCCTTTGTCTTCTGCTACAGAGAGATGACAGTGCCAGGTGATAATCTCTGACCAACACAGCGACCCTTATTAGCTTTTGACTTCTCGTACAGGAAAAACTTGCAGCTCGGAGTGCAGTGAACAGACCTAGAATAACAGACATACAAGAAGATGGGATCCTATTACTTTAACCTTATTACCTCAGTGGTTTGTACATTCAATATATTTATTCAAAATTGTAACATTGCAATACAAATCCTGTATTTCAGGACTAGTTCTTTGTTATAACGAATCCATGAATTTCATAGCCAGCTGCCTGTAATGATATTACACCTCAGGAGAAAACATCCTAACGTATCAAAAAAGCAGCCGATAGCCTTTGTGCAAGTATGATACAAATTTTCCTTCTCATGTAGAGCTGATTTCTAAAATGCGAGATCCCAGCAGGCATAATGAGAGGGTTTGCCATTTATCATGTAATTATCATGTCAAACGCTCAGTCCTGCATGTTATGGACAAAACTTTGGTGGCAAGCAGAGTTACAGTACACAAAATATAAGTTAACACAGCAAAGAGTACAAAGTGTGTTGAATACGAATCTGAACATGAGTCTTCCTTGGCTTACAATCATAGTCTTTAGCTGCTTGTGTTTCACAGAGTAAGTAATTCCTCTCATTGCTGAACAACATGGCACATTCTTACCCAAATATTTCTCCAGCATAAGATGCTCTTTGAAATAATCAGCTGTCCAAGAAATCTACACACTCCTGGCAGGTCCCTTCCTTAATACAGGTTTTCTGTATTTTATATGGGAACATTTTGAATTGCAGAAACTTGTAATTGCTTTAAACATCTGATCACCACCGGCAGGTTATAAAAAGTAGGTAAAATAGTCTTTTAATACATAAACAACTCGTTTCCTGAAGCACCAATTAAAATACACAGTTCTGTAAACCTATCTCGTGTTGGACAGAAACAGGCCCCTCATGTAAGTAACTCCTCTGCAAGCAGCTGAGCAGTTAAACCTGACTCCCTACAAACAGGAGTTATGAAATCAGACAGATGCACGTGGAACAGTTTACCCATGCTACCTTGTAATTCTCACAGTCCACAAGATTAATACAACTGTGCCCATTTCCCCAGAGGAAGCTAAAAGCCCGGACTCCCTTAGCTACCCCTTTGCAGGTGATTCTCCAGCAAATTATCCTCTCACAACACAGTCGACTGCTCCACGGAATAGTGGAAATTGGGCAGAATTACACTTGCAGAAAATGGTCTCTAATATGTGGCAAATATAAGGTATAAGGTGGTCTGTAAACTCTCTCTTATAAAGTTCCTGAAATTTTTATTCCTTGGCTTTTGTGGGTTTGTAAAGGCCCTGTTGGCTTTGTATTAACTGCAACAGCCTTGCAGTTGAGTCTTCTTCTGTACTCTTTATTTTTCACTTCATATTAAAAAGGATTTTTTCAGAGCAAATCAAGCTTTTCAGCAGGGAAAAAGATCATTTCAAAGCTTCCCCAAACACCTGCCTTCAACAGCCTGCTGCGCCAAGCAGCTGCCTACTTTGCCCATGCTTCAGAGCAAGTCCTGGCTCCAAAGTGACCCGCTTCCAGTCTCAGGTATGCCCAGGCTGGTTTTAAAGTTAATCCTTAATCTCCATCAGAGACGGCATAACCATGTTGTAGCATTTCGGTGGTGCAATCGTAAAACCGTAATTACCCACCTGGCTCTACGGCTTCTTCCTCTGAATCTCCGATGCAGTCAATGTTTACAGTCTCACTGCAAAAGAGCCCCAGTAAAGGCTGTAACAGGATGTAGCAAGGAAAAGACGTTAAAACACAAGGGAAGTAAATGAAGGTTCTGTAATTATACTTTATTGCAACCCTAATGCTTTGCCTGCTCCTGAAGACTCCTTTAGCTAAATTTGTTTCTTCCAGAATTCTTTTTTCTGTACCAATGAATAAACACAAGAAGCATGTACATTTTTCTTATTATTTTATTGAAAAGGTACATTTAAAAAAATACACAGACATTTTACTATTATGGATTGCAGATAAAGATGTTCTAAAAGTTAATTCTTTTTTTTTTTTCTCCCTTTCTTCCACCTGTTGTCCCCATTATCACATAATAACTTCAGTCTGAGTACTGCATATTGATATCACCTTTATAAAAGGGTTGGGGAGGTAAGAAGGTAGGTGGGGCATTACTGCAATATATTCGGTAAACACAGAATACAGTCAATTATAAATATTTTATGTTCTGTACATTATTGCATTAGGGAGCCACAATGTTATGCAGCATTGTTACAAAGGAAACTAGTTAGAAATGAAGAAAAATATATTTACGTACAAATACATGGATCCATTGTCTTGAACAATGCATGTGAGCTGTGGTAATGTGCAATTGAAAAGCTTTTTTTCTCTTTAAACATTGCTTAGCAACACCAGTGAGGAAACAACAAAAATAAGTTAAATGAAAGTAGCAAACAAGTAGTAATCTTAACTATATGTTATATGGCTTTCTATTTTTAATTTCTCTAAATAAAGTGAGACACAAAAGAAAGAATTAAAAGCTTCAGCGCTGCATTGCTTTCAAACATTTGCACAGAAACTAAAAACATTAAAATCAGACATGTGATACATCTTTAGTACGACACAAGATACACCAGCACTGGGGCCTAGGACAGTACACAATCCCTGTCAACAAGAGCACGTTGAAAAAAGTAGGACGCAATTCATTTCTGAGATGTTATCCACAATCAAGCATTTGGTTCATGTATCTTTTCTTCCACATTAGATGATATCCCATTGGTTTTTAGAGACGTATTTACATAAATGTGAGCAAGGAAGACCCTAGTTTTCAAGTCTATCAGGAAAATATCTTATGTTCCTTGATGTTCCTTGATTACAAGGTGCATCATACACATCGCAAAAAAAAAAAAAAAAAGCATGAATCTTTAATGGTATAAATTGTATGAGCAATTAAGTTTTTAGTAAATCACTCTCTACTTGGATTAAAAAAAGAGAGACACAGAGAGAGACAGAGAGAGAGTTGTCTAGACTCCAAAATGCACTACCATCAATGATGACTGTTACGGTGTGGTTGGTTGAGGTGTCACGCTGCATGGCATTTCAAAAGAGAAAGACGTTTTAAAAGCTCGACCCCTTTCCTCCTTCTGTTTTACCCTTTCTACTGGCCATAGTTATCTCTCTTTTACATCAATAAATTAGTATGGTGCAAAAAGTATGGAGGCAGGTGTTGCCCGGATGGGACCATGGCCTGGCCTGAGGAGAGCTGGTGGTATTGCAGGTGCCTGGAACAAGGAGGCAGAGGGACGGGGAGGAAGGGACAGAGCCGACGACACAGCTGCAGCCGCAGCAAGAGGAGATGAAAGGAAAGCGGGTGCCAGCGGCTTAATCATGTCCTTCTGGAATGCAAGCTTTGCCTGGAATAAAACACACAAAAAGGCAATGTAAATACTGTTCTCCCCACGCCCACTTTTACATGAGGGGAAAAAAGGAACCCTGACAAAGGGCACACTGCGGTTTCTCACAGAAGCCTCAGGTCAGCTGCTTAGAAATTTCACCCCCATTGTCTTTTTACTCCCAAGGCAATTAAAGCAACCAAGTCGTGTATTTAAAGGCACATACATCTCTTGAGTGTAGGGGCAGTCACACTGATGTTTAGAAGGAGGCGCAATTTGCAAGTGAACGACATTAAATTATAGAAATCTTAACCGTGCAAAAAACATTAAAAAAGCATGATTAAGATTTCAATGGCAAAAGTCAAATTTTCCACTTGCAAAAATGAATTGTGGAAAAGTAGAATGGTCAAGATGGGAAACTAGTATTAGTCCAGTCAGCTTTTTACCTGTCAACGCAGAGCTGCTCTTTTAAAAACAGAAATGTTTTTTAAGATCAATACCATAAAGAATTCTTTCTGAAAGAATTAGTACTCAGTTGATGATCTGCAATGGTTGCTGGTGCTTGTGGTGAAAAAGATAAGCAGAAATATATACACTACAGTCTCATTGAAAATGGTTTGCACCACAGTCACATACTTGTGGGGGGAAAGATACGTCCTTCCTTTACTGGTGGAGGTCCGTCCTTATGCAATAGATGATAAAACAATGTATTACACAAATGAAGAAGATTAGTGTGTGCAGAACCTATCGATGAGGAGACTTAGAAAAAGCCAGCAGCATTTTCATTTGCCTCTGTACAATTTCAGAGACATATTAGTATTTCAGCTTTAAAGGCTTTTCACACGCTTCCCGTTGCACACACACATTTGCATCTCTCTCTTCTCGACTTATAAATTGTTTTTGTGCCATGGGGGGCATGCACTTTTCCCTAATGAATAAAATACAAGCTGAGTCATGATCAAATAAACATACAATCTGTGCTGTGCTAGAGCCAGGCTGAACCAGCTTGGGGAATTCCTGGAAATGCAGGTGGGCGTGAAAGGGGATGGCTGAGGCCACAAAGGCAGGAGAGGCGTTTTGATAGCCAGGGACAGGCACAGCCCAAGCATGCAGACGGGCGATCAGTCCTCCTAAACACCTGGTAACTCTTTTGCACCAACGTAATGATTTACTAGATGATCTTTAAGGTCCCTTCCAAACCAAACCATTCTATGACTCTATGATAATACATCCACACAGGACTCTGTTTTGCTGTATGCAGAGAATGCACGTGACTATTTTAGTATTTTAACGTATTACGACCTGTTCCCTGACTGCATCTGGTGTAACTGAGGGTTAGTTATCTCAGGTGCCCAGGAAGACAGAGTATATACAGTGCGGCCTTCAAAGAGAAGCGCGCTAGCCCAGCAGAACCAATACCTTTCCACAGGGCACATGGTTCATTCCCCATTCCATTGATTATTCCCTTCTTCCTAGCAGTAAATAACACTCGCAGGGCTGACTGCGTGCCTTAGACTGGGCAGACAGAATACATAACTATCTCCAGATCCAATCCCCATGCAGATTCAGCCTGCAGAGGGAGAACTGCTGCGGAAGCGCCAGGTCTGTTGTGTTCGTGTCTCTGTGTGGCGAGAGTCCCCAAGGTCACAAATTCACACAGAAAGTGATGAGAAATAAAAATACTTACTGCTAAAATACTCGGGCTGCGCTGAAGTTTGTTGTAAGGACTGTATTTAGGTTTCATAGGCTTTCCTGCAACTCTGTCCTTATGCCTTCGGCTGGAAATGTGCTGAAATAAATATCCTCACATTTAATTAGCTGTTTAAACATTTCTCAGTTTTGAGTTTGAAATTGATTTATCAGCAGGATATGCCTAAGCCCCAGTTTGTAAAATAAGTTCTTTAGAGAGAGCAAACATGAGTTTTGCTAAATTAAACACAACAATTTGGAGCACATCAAACAGAGAATCAGGAACTAATCAAATACAGCTAATTCTGTGATCTGAGACAGGCTCTGCAAATTATTGATAGTATTTAGTATTATTATTCAGTATTTCCGTTTTCCACCTGAAGAGCTCTGAACCAGGCAGAGCTGCAATCACCAGGTCATAGGGATATTCAAAAGCTGGAGGTAAATTTCAGTCTCGCTGATGCTGTTCAGCTGTATAAATAATTCAATATTAGCTGAAGGAAGAACCACCAGTACCCAGGGATATAAGTACACCATGCAATTTAATACTATCTTAGAGATAACTGAAATAACAAGGAATGAGAAGACACATCCACACGGCATAGAACCATCCAGTTAGATTCCCGTCTGGGTATCAGAAACAAGGTATTTGTATCGGCACAGCTCTGAACACAGGACTAATTGGCTCAGACAGAGCAGAGCTGCATGTTCAAGCAGCTACACTGTTAATGGTAACATTGCTCTACACAATTCAGACATGTCTACAGTATTACCCTCTTGCTGATTGTCCTAAACCAATAGATTCAGGTCACATTCTCCTTCTCACATAGTATTAACAAGTATCCCAGCAGATTGAAATAGCACCAATAGAGGAATTTAGGGAACCTCAACCCAGAATTTCTTCCATTGGGAGACCAAAGTTCAAATTTCTCTCTTGAGCCACAGCAAACTTGTAAACTAAATCTGCCGTGTTATTTATTGATACTAACACCTTGTACACCTCTGCTTTCTGACTCTCAGACCCATTTTTTCCCAGCTGAAACGATTAGGTGAACTTGACCTATGGTGAACTATTTAGAAATGGTTGTGGGACGACCTACATCCCATCTACAATATTGCAATGCAACTACAAACAACAAAGGAGGCCCGGATACATGCAAGCTACCTGTTTAAGTTGAATTTCTGAATTAACATGGACATCACATATTTCACAATGAAACGTCTTGTTCTGCAGTCCTGAGCCTTTATTGCCGTTCTGCACCTTCAGCCGGGATCCAGGTCTAGGGTAAGACTTGATGGGACCAGCACCATTCCGAGCCTCTACCATGGTCTTGTGCTTGGAGCCTAATGGGCAAGGAGACCCAGGTGAGTTAATGATCAGCAACATACAACCACGTCCATTAGCCTTGGGACTTTTTGTAACACATTTATCTTCAAGACAGAATGGTTAAAGTCACCGCAGATCAGGATGAATGATGACTCTGTTTTTGATTAGCATAGTTCCCACTTTCTTAATCTAAAGGGAAGCCAAACAATGGAAGAAGGGTTTGTACAAAAAGGGAAAAACTGTCTCTGTGTTTAGGGGCAGTGTGTGGCCGTATGGCTGTCCTGGTTTCAGCTGAGTTAGTTTTCCTTTTTAGCAGCCGAGAGAGCTCTGTGTTCTGGTTTTAGTCTGGGATTCATTATCAGAAGAATGTTGATAGTGCACTGATGTTTATAGTTGGTACAGAGACATCAAGGACCTTGCAGCTTCCCTTGTTTTGCCAGTGTGCAGGAGCACAACAGGCTGGTGGGGAGCATGGCTGGGACAAAGGGTCCACAACTCCCTTTGTGATTCAAGCTTAGACTCGGGATTGAGGGCCAAATTGGCCAATGAAATATTCCATGTCATGCAACATCCTGCCCAGTATACAGATGAGGATTAACCAGAAAGACAGGCTTTTGCCCTTCTGGGAGCTGGCTGTCCCAGTCTCTCAGAGTGCTCTCTCTTTTTGGGTCTCTCACTCGTCTGAGATTGCAGTGTCAGGACTTACCAGTTTCGAGATCATTTGCCAGGACAGGCGTTGGTCACCAGGTGGTGAGCAATTACACTGTGCATCACTTGTTTGTGTACATTATTATTGTTATACATCTCTATATATTCATTTATTAATTATTATTAAATTGTTCTTATCTCAGCTCATGAGTATCCTTCCCTTTTCCCCTTTAATTCTCTTCCCTGTTCCCTGGAGGTGGGGAGGATGAACAAGCAGCTGTGTGGCATTTAGTTGCTGGCCAGGCTAAACCACGACAATGGCGAAGGTGTTTGTTGCTTATTCTTCTGCCAAAATCCATATAGCTGGTGAGTCATGAAAAGGACATTAGCCAAGTGTGGGAGAGGAACCACATCAATCACTCAAAACCTGCCTAGGAACAGGAATATTTCAATAAGCATCCTCTGATCTGGAAGAAATGGCTGCTTTGGCCGTTTCAAGAATGGATTACAGCTGCAAAACCAGCTTCAATAGTTTGTTAACAAGCTTTACATCACCAGCACGTCACAGAGCAGCCAGAGCACATTAGGGATTGCTGCTTGTGGCCTTTTAAAGGGAGCATATCTAATTCATAGTAATCAAAAGATTCTAGGACATCTAGGAAATCTAAGGAGTCCATCCTAAAATTATCAAAAATATCAAACAACAAAAATTATTTTAAGTTTTACCAGCAAAAAAACAGACACCAGAGATAGTGAGATGAAATATGAAAGAGAGAGAAGTGACATTTTAGAAACCTTACTGCTACGGAAACCACTGTGATCTTACTATGATCCTCATTATGGAGGTACGATGGAAACTGATTAGTTAACATGAACTGTAGGGATTTTGTCAACTAAAAGCTTATAGAGTACATGAAGAACAGTTCAAAAAATTTATAGAGAGCTTCAGTAAAATATCAAACACCACACATGAAATTGTCATTAACAGAAATGTTTTTGTAACTTGCCATTATAAATTTTAACTGAAAGACTCTTCGGTGAAGTGTGGCTACCAGTGTCAGAAAACCAGCCTGTTACAACGAATTTTAAAAATAACAACACATGACTGACGTACACTGCGTGCATACTTACCTGTATTGTGGGCTTCTAGTTGTGACAGGGAATTCACAGCCACTTTGCATAATGAACAGTAAAGCAGTTTTTTGGCTTTTTCCTCTTCTGACTCAGAAACCGTGTTAGGAGCTCCATTCGTGCTCTTGGAGGACGAGGCAGGTGTTACAGGTGCCACTGCTGCCACTCCAGGTTTGGGAAGAAAAGGACTCACTTCTGTACTGGACTGCTGACTTGCGCTATTGGGTTTTGCTTTCCCTTTATCTTCTAAAAGAAGTAAAATATTTATGTCATGATATGCTGCACACACACACAAAAATCATACAGTAATAGTCCTGTGTTTTTAGTGAATCTAACACAACAGGGGCCTAATTCATCTTATTTTATACAGGACAGCAGCATTCTTGAAATCTTCTTAAAATCCTACCATGAAATGTGTGTGAAATGTGTGACAAAAAGGGTAATTTTCCTGTTTTTAAAGTTACCAGTGAATACCAATGACTTCAACAACTTTGTGCCAGCTGTTGTTGCTGTCATGCCACAGGTTTGGCAAGTTGAAAGGAGCCCAAGAAAGCCAAAAGGCAGCCGGAGTTCAGGACTGGAGAGCACTGAGAAACATGAAAGGCTTTGCACTGGGGATTACAAAAATATTTCTGAAGAGCAATATATTTGCCTTTGGAATGGCTCAAGTTTCTCAAAGTCACTGGGAGGACGCTCAAAGGCTCCACCATCATCTTGACATACAATATCCCTCATTTCAGTTACAGGAGTTGATTATGGTACTGCACTATACACATGAACACAACTGCTAATGTTTTTAGGTTTTTCCAAGAACAATTTCCCATATATCCGAGATCAGATGACTCTGATTTGCATTCAGTCCATTCCTCTATCACTTCGCAAGCATGAGTCAATCATCTGTGCTCCTATGAGACAGGTAGGCAGGTATCACTTCATTTTACAGATGGCGATCGCAAGGTGAGAGATTACATGTCCCAGCTGTGTCTAAAGAGGAACTTCATGCCAGAGCCAGTATTCAAATGCTCCTTGGCTACAAGAGCTCATTGCACTTTAACCTATTCAGCTGCAGTCCTTGTGACCACAGGCCATACTGTTTGCTGGCAGTAAAACAACTCACCTATAAAGAACATGGAACATGTATTGGGGACAGTACAGTGGTGCTGGTATGAGCAACCCCAATGAAACGGAGATAAGCAAAGACTGCAGAAGATTGTGACATGTTATCACTCTGAACGAGAGGAATCAAATTTTATCATCTAAGCCAGTACAACATCTACGTAACAGCAGCCTCTTAAAAACTACTTATACCCCGTTTGAAACCTATGGCATACTTTTAAACAGTGTTGAACTCATTTGAAAAGCTAGCCTCTATTTTGAGCACTTGGTTATTTTTAAATATGGGCCCTTGCACCTTATGTTTACAGCTACCAGACTCTGTCTTAATATTACTCTGTGTATCAGGGCAACGTTGTGCTACCAAGAATTTCAAAAACAGGACTGTATCTGCTACAGCAAACACTTGAGAGTGCGTACGAACTATGAACTGGAATCTTGAAACTAAGCCCCACAGTTGTTGGCACATTTCCCAGAAGTGCATTGCAATACATCAATTTTAGATTATTAAAAACCAGGAGAAAGAATATTCTACTAAAAGAATTATTATTTTTTAAAGTAGCAATAAAAATACTTCAAAATTACATAATACAAACTGCACTAAACATTGAAAATGATCAAGCATGAAGACTACTATTAGGACCAAATTAATGATAAAACCAGATTCTGCAGGTATTTTGATTGATAAAGTATGACAAAATAAAATTATGTTAAATCATAGTTCATAGACTATTCAATTTTAACGTCACTACAGTAATAAGTCACATCTGCAAAAAATCTAGAACACTTTATATGACTTGTGAGTCTTCATAAAATTAACCATTTTGATAAACAGTATTTTCTAACATTTTAAATTAAAGAGTTTTCAATATGGAAAGTTCTCAGAGGTGCTAGCATCTACAATGGAAACACACTGAACTGCTGCCATTTGTGAATTCACATTACAGGAAAATAGACGACTTCTTGTTGTTGTTCTATGCAACATTATGCCAGACTGCAAAAGGCATAATGCAAGGATGTATGCAAACCTGAGTGCAATAAAGGAAAGTTCCTCAGTATTTTGCACTTCAGGCCTTAAAAGAAAAATACATCTGCAGAACTGCAGGCTGTATGTTAATACATAGAGACTCCACTTCTAGTCTGGGTTTGCTTAAATGTTGTTTCCTATTTATTTATTTTTTTAATGTAAGTGTAAAGATTTGGTGCTTTTGAAACAATTCCTGGAGATAGAAATCATCTCCTGTGAGGAGGGGACCAGCAG